ACTAGAAGCTCTAACCCGCTCGAATCGACTATCGCCTGCACCAATGCTTTCGCCTCCTCCTCGTGTTCCCCTACCGCGTCCGCATCCGTCAACTCTCCTAATAACGAAACCGCTCCTAACGAGATATCCGTGTTCTCGTGCCCCAGGAGCGACAAAATCGACGGAACCGCATTCAACCGCACTAAATCCGGGTACAGGCTCGGCGCGCTTGCGACAGCGTGGAGCTTCTTGACCTCTCGGTCGAGCTCCACCTCGGATTCCATGAACTTCTCTGGTTGGTCCACGTGGCGGATCCGCGCGTCCATGTTCTCCTTGAGCCGCTTCTCGAACGCCAAAACCGCTCGCCGCAACCCGCGGAGGTCCATCACCTCGACGGATAACCCGCCTCCCGCGCCGCCCTCCCCCGCCGCCGCCGCCGCCGCCGCTTCCCGTTCGAGCGCTTCGAGCAGCTCCATGTCGACCTCGTCGTTGTCGCCCGGCGCCGCGGGGAGCACGGGGCGGCGGAATTCGGATTCAGGTCCCCCTGGCCCGCCTCTCTCCTCGTCATCGAAATCGTCGCGCATTTTCGCCTTTCCTTTGCGGTCTGCTGCGGCTGCTAGCTTTCTCGGTCCATCCTCGAGAGAAGGCGTGCCGTTAAGCGCATTGGCGCCTGAATCCGCGACCGGCGGCGTGTCCCACGTTCGCTTGCGCTTAGGCGCTGCTGCCGCCATTCGGAGCTATATCTTCCCGCTTAGATACGGAAGAACTGTGCTATGCACTAGAGTTCGAGAGAAAGGAAAGGAACGCAGTGTGTGGTAGAGTAGCTGGCCTAACCGAAGCGGTATCAGAACTATGTTAGGGGCTCCAGAATCACTCTCCGAAGCGGTACCTACTCTAGTACCGTAGCAAGAAAGAAACTTGCGCCTTATGCTTCGCTATAGTGAGAGCTGGCAGTGAATCATACGCGCTAACGGGTTAGTAGAAGCATACGAAAATTTGCGTCTTAAGTTCATGAAACGCTCTATAACAATGACACTTACAGATTGCAAAAAGGCTATCACATGTTTGTTTTCCACAACATCGTCAACCTGACTGATGGAAGGCCCCAGTATGAATTACCCACATTAGGGAGAAGGTAGAAAAACAAGACAAAATCTAGCGTTACGCTATCATAATCCCTCATTACATGTACGGAACCAAGGAATTTCTATTGCATGTCAAGTAAAAATCTATGCTTCCCAAACCAAGATGCTCTTCTCAGGGACCCCGGCCTCCTTGAGCACTTGCAGCGCAGCTTGGTTGGACTGCTTGTCACCAAACACCACAGCGGCTGTGAGCTCAGGGTCATACTCCAAGTCGTCAGCATCAAACACGTCTGCAAACGACCCCACCAGCCCGTCCCACTCCTCCCCGTTTGTTGCGTCGACGGTCGGCCTGACCTTCGCATTCAGCTTCTCCCATTGCGCAAAGTGGTCCTGCGCAAGGTAAGGGTGAGGAGCAAGAGAAGCTTCGTCTTGATGAATGCTGGGCGCTGAGCTGATGCGGGAAAGCTCGCAATACAGGAACTCGTGACATTTTAACATAACCTTGGTTGGCCCTCCCAAAACCCTCCTCTGTCACTCCACTCTCTATGTGCACTGTCATACACACCATACCTGCCATCCCACACCCACTTCCATCATCCCTTCCCTGCTGCTTCAACTCCCACTCACTCCTCCATTATGTTACTGATAGAAGCTTTTCCAAGTCCAGTCAGCCTCAGGTTGACACCTACAGAATAATTCAAACCTTAAAAACAAGAAGTGCTGGCACGGGGAACCACCAAGCTGCGTACCTTGTAAGCCACGGCTGAGGGCGAGGGGGCAGAGTAAAACAGGCGCACTTCAGAGCGCATGTTGAGGAAAAGCGAGCCCACATCCGAGGCCTCAATGAGTGACCGCGCCGCTGCAATGCCGTTGCCCGCAGCAAAGATGAGCAGCGTGGGGAACCGCGAGAGGAACATGATTGGCCGCAGGTCCAGCCCGTTGGCCTGGAAGGGACCCACCTCCAACTCAGCTCCTGGGGGACGGGGGGGGGGTAAAGGTCAGCAATGGAGAGAGATGAGCAGCTGTTAGCATGGACAGAGGGCAATGAAGTCTTCTGGACGATACTGAGGAAGAAATCTGGCTGTCATGTGTCGGCTCTGTTCTTTTTATTCAGTTAACTCCTCCACTGGCATGCTCTGCTGTGATCTGCAGGTTACGAAGGGCGGAGGCGTGATGGGGCGTGCCATGCAGAATCCCATGACAAACGGTAAAAAGTCACCTCGCTCACCGGGCTGCAGCTCGCATAGTGGGTGGTCAGACTCAAATGTCGACTTGAACATTTCATATCTCTTAACAGTCTGAGACGTCTCTTCGTTTCCAGAGGAATGCAACGTTCACAGGGCCGGCAATGCAATGCTCACCAGGCTGCAGGTTGTAGAGAGGGTGGTCGGGCGTGACGTGCAGCTCGAGCGGGTGCTTCACGGACAGCGCGTATTGCGGCGCCTTGGTGGCTCCGGCGGGGATGTCGCCGCGCAGCTTGTACAACACGCGCCAGTTGCTCTCGCTGGGGAACGGCGGGCTCGACACGTACGTCGCCACGGGCTCTCCCTCCGCCACGCGCACCAGCACGGTCTGGCCGGGCTTCGTGTACGCCTGGTCGATGGGAATGAACTGCAGGGGTGCCGGGATGGGGAAGGAAAAGAAGACGGGTACAGCGGGTTGACTTTTGAGTCGACTCAAAAGTAAACTCAACACGGTCTGGCCGGGCTTCGTGTACGCCTGGTCGATGGGGATGAACTGCAGGGGTGCCGGGATGGGGAAGGAAAAGAAGACGGGTACAGCGGGTTGACTTTTGAGTCGACTCAAAAGTAAACTCAACACGGTCTGGCCGGGCTTCGTGTACGCCTGGTCGATGGGGATGAACTGCAGGGTGGAGGAAGGGGAAGGAAAACACGAGGGGGTACAGGGGGAGGAAAGGACTGCTTTTGAGTCGACTCGAAAGCACACCAGCACGGTCTGGCCGGGCTGTGTACGCCTGGTCGATGGGAATGAACTGCATGGGTGGAAGCAAGAAGAAGGAAAACAATTTTTGAGTCGACTAAAAAAATTGGCTTCGTGTAGGCCTGGTCGATGGGAATGAACTGCAGGGGTGCCGGGAATGGAAAGCGAAACACGAAGGAAAGGAGCGGGTGTGAGAATGGAGGGTGAAGAACAAAACCTCTGAGCTAGTGCCGAGGAAGCAGTGTACATCAGTTCCAGGCATGGTTCGGATGTATCTGTTGCCTATACGGCTGCATCGTTGCAAGAGCGGTAAGTTCAATGCTGCATGATGCCAATTATTGAAAAGGCAAGGCCAGTCTAGCTGCTCTGCAGAATGTTAGCCTGGCGTGAGCACCATTCACCAGGAGCGACATGCCCGATGTGCCCTACGGCAACTCTTCTCAGGAGCGCTGTGCTGCAAACACCTTGCTCGTGACGCGGTCATTCGTCCAGACATCGACTCGTGACGCGTGACAGAGACGATTTTAAGTACGATGGCCACTGCTGTCTCAGAAAAATATTTTTGATGCTTAGGAGGATCGGACAGACACCGATGTTCTAAGATTCCTTTATCCTGACACTGAATCTAGCCCCAGTACTAGGAGATTATGAAGAAAAACACAGGTGCGGTAGAGACATGCCTTAATGAAAAAGCTTCATACCTCTCTCGAGATTTCCGCGTTGACCGTCACCACTCGCACATCAGGAGCGACGTCCTGAACGGCAACAACGGTCGCGGCATTGAATTCCTTCTTCTCCGCAGCATCAACCTCAATCACAGAGTAAGGCTTGGACGACTCCTCGGTCTCCTTCAACCGGAGCCGATCGTCCGTGCTGATCGTCTCCGCATTCGCCGTTGGTTGCACGGCGACGGACGCCTTAGTTGCGAACTTCGACGCTCTCCTCTGCACGGCGGTTAGCGCGAGCTTCGTGCCGTGAGCGAACGAGTCGGTCTTGATGGAATCGGCCGGTCGCGAGGCTCGTTGTGTGGAGCGGGAGAAGAGCTGGCAGCTCAGCCGGGAGCACTGGAGGGAAGTGGTCGCCATGGCGTGTGCAAGATTCGAAAATGCGCAATCCGGCAACCAAAGGACTGGTTTTGCGGATTAGGGACGTCCGCTTCGCTCCAAGGATGCTCTTTGAGCTGGGATGCTCAAAGTACGGAAAATAAGGACTCCAGCTTTTGTGCTTACTTTTCTTATCTCTTGACTCGCAAGAGTTATGAGCACAATTCAAACCAACAAGCTTGGAGGAAGGGCTTTCACTGGATTCCCGCACCAACAAAATGGGTGCGGATGACGCTTAGTTAAGTACTGGGCTCAACAGGCTGTCACCAACCGTTGTCACGGAGGGGGTGGCGTATTGCGAGGGAGTGAGGGATCACGAAGGAGCGGGATGAGTCGCTCATGGGGGAGCCAATCTCGAGGTGAGGCTGATCCCCAGGTGAGGCTGAATGCGCTGGGTTCCCGGGTTTCCAAAGTGATGGGGCGAGGCCAGATGGCGAGATGACGGGCGCCGCGTGGATTCCGCAAGCCGAAATGGCTCAAAAGTGCTGCCATGTCACGCTATACGACAATGGACTTTCGAGTGTCCTCACGAGGATGGCCTGTTGGCTCATCCCTGAACCTGGAATTCTTCATTATTATCGACCTCCTTTTCCGTTTTCATTAATAATCCTTGTCTTTCGAGGAATCTCAAAATCTGTAAAAATCTGATTCAATCATTGTCTAAGTACTGATTTGATTCTTAACGCGCCTGCTTTCAACGCACAATTTTAGGTCAATGCTCCCACCCCATCCATCTCCTGTGATCCCACATCCCCGACAGATCCCCAGAAAAGCCCCATATTATAATGCCATGCTCCTAGTCTATACGTTCAGCTTCAGGAGAGTCTTTTCATGATCGAAACATAACTAACGCGCGTCGTCTCGCTTCCAGGGCTCAATACATGTGTAAGAGATGGACAAAGCCAGCAGAAATTCCCAGCACGCAGCGACGCAAGGCGTCACGCTTGCAGGTCCACGCGAGGCTCTTTCCGGCCTTCTTCGTCACGCTCAGAAGCTCGCTGAAAGGAACCCAGCCTGCAAGACAGAGGGACCTGCGGGTCAGCAGCAGCAGCAGCAGCAGCAGGAGCCGATCCGATGGCTGCAGACGCAGCTCCAATCGTTTCAGCATCGTGTGAATCAGATTCAGCAGAGCTCCCCTCGGATTCAGGGTGGTGACGCTCACGATGATAGATCCGATCGGCATTTTTCCGTTGAGGAACGCCAGAGCGTTCCGTTAAAGCTCCGTCAAGCCGCTGGAGGGTGGTTAAGGGACAGACAGAGGGACGTTGCCTTGCTCATTGAGGGTTTCCCGCAGGAGGCCGGAAGGCTGCTGGGAGGAGTTACTGGGGGGCTTGACCCGATCGGCGACAGCGTCGGCGACAGTTGTAACAATGTCGCCGACGCGTCGTTGCTCCCCTTTCGCCACAATTTCGCGTCCATCACGGCGTCTTTTGCGGGGAGATTCGGCGACGCTGCTGCTGTGGATCCAGCGGATCAGCGGCTGGCTTCGTTACAGTCACCTTCCGCATCAGATCTCGCATCTACCGCCGAATCCGCGTCTGCCCCAGGAGCGGAAAGTTACGGGTTCGAATCTCCCGCGAGGCACATTTTCGACATTGCCATGTCGGCGGACCAAGTAGCGAAGCGGTTGGATGGTGTACCCGTGTACACTGTAACTAACACTGCAAGCGAGTTCGTGCTTATATCGGATATGGGAGGGAACAAGTCGCTGGGGCTGTTCTGCTTCAGGAGAGAAGATGCTGAAATGCTGCTGGCACAGGTAATGCCCAACTGCTTCTGGCGCAGATCATGGGGTGACTTTTGAGTCGACTCATAAGTCTATTGCTAGCGCAGATCGAATCCTCTCCTGACCTATCTCCTCCAGACGTCCTTCCCTTGCTTCTTATTCTCTCCGTATGCATGTGTCTCTTGCCCTTCTCTCATGTTTCGTTGTTCTCTCCTCCGCCTCTGGCTGTGTGCAGGTGAAGGACCGCGAGCCGTCACTTGGGCGTGGAGCAAAAGTGGTGCCAGTTTCGCTTGACAAGGTGGGTGCTCTTTGCGGCGAGACAGTATGCGTGCTTTGATAGAATTTCTATCAGAGAAAGTGAGTTTGGTTATGGGGCCTACAGTGGTTCCTGTGTCATGTCACGTCTAGGTGAGCACCGTTACAGTAATGACCCTTGGTTTGCGGAGGGTGCAGCGTCATCGTGTCAATGAATAGCCTATCCGCTCCTCTTTTTTCATCCTCTTCATTCCATCTCATTTTTTTGCCCAGATGCCCTCAAGCCCTTCTCTGATACCCCTTGGTGCCAATTGCTGCATTTTACCCTACACTAAGCCCTCCTCTCTGCGCTCCTGCATCTTGTGGTCTAAAGCATGTGTGCCGTTGTCACGTGCCCATCAGGTGTACCAACTGTCAGCCGAGGGGATTGCATTCCGTTTCCTGCCTGACCCCACTCAAGTCAAGCACGCCCTTCAGGTGAAGCTCTTTCACTCTCTCTGGCCTGCCTCCTTCTCTGGCCTGCCTTCTTCTTCTCACCTTTTTCTGTCCTATTTACAAAACCTGTGTTTCCAATGTCTCTTTTTCCAGGTCTTGTCGGCATCTGGAGAGACAGCACGAGCATTTGACGGGGTTCCCGTCTTCCAGGTGCTCACTGACTTGCAATGTACAACATTTTGGTAATTTTCTGACTTGTGTTTCGTCCAGAATTTGATACTCGCACCCTCGCCACCACTCCCACTGTTTGCTCACTCACTCTCGCTCTCACTCGCACTCTCACACTCTCATTCACATTCTTACTCTCTGTTTGGCCTTGCCTCTGGCAGTCGGAGAATCTCATCCTTCGCAGCAAGAACAGGCGCTTCTGCCCCGTCTTTTTCAACAAGGTACACCTCCTCGTGAATGCAAAGAATGTCCAATACACGCTAATGCCATGGCTCACTCTCACCCTGATCACCTCTTGAGTTTTCGTCCTCGTTTTCACCTCTCCTCTTTCCTTCATTCCTCTCCTATTTATCACTCCTCCCCCTCACCCTACTCCATGCCTTCTCTCCCGTGTCTCCCTTTTATCCTCACTGCCGAAAATTATGTCCTGGCCGGTCATTCCACAGGAGGATTTGGATGCTGCGCTGAAGAAGGCCATCAAACAGAAGCAGGCAGTGAACCCTAACATGCGAGTCACCAACAACATACAGGTGTGACACAAGGGAGGGAGGGGTGACTGGAGGGTGCACATGTGGTTGCAAGCTCAATCGAATAACTGCTAGGTGGTGCGCATGTGGAGTGTTCTTATCCTCGTGTACTATAGGAGTGTAGCAATGTATGTGGAGCCTTGGACAGTGTGACTATAGAGAGGTGCGCTATAGAGTGTGGCTGGCCCAAACTGTGAACCTCTTTTTGTCCCTGCTTGTGCCTTTCTCATTCGGTTCTTCTCAACCAGGTTGGCAGCTTTGAGGAAGTACTCAAAATGCTTGAGGTGAGCTATTTGGGGCCACATTCTATTTATGTTAATGAAGGGACCAAAACATTGCTCCTCGCTCTCAGCATCGTATATCCCTGCTATCTCGTTCTAACCAGGTTTCTGTCTTTCCTCCCGCTCCCCTTACAGCGGAACGACGAGGACTCGTTGTGGGGTGATCTGCTCTTTATCCCACCAGGCATGGATGCGGAGGGGTTATTAGGCAAGGCGGTGGCAGCATCGCCACCGCAACCTCCTGTCCTCTGCTAGAATTTCATTTCCAGCTTTTGGCAGGCCATCCGAGAGGAGTGCATTTGTTCTCGTAGGCACATGACTGTTGTGCTGCTGTGTCCAAACTCCTGTGAAGCCCGGTTATTCTGGTAATCAGGGCTGGTTAATGCTCCCTAGCACATGAATGATGTGGCTATAGCCCGTCCATCTCAGATTTACTTCCGAAGGTTGGGTGAATGCAGTGGCTGTCGCTGTTTTTCACAGTAGAAAGTCCACTATACAACCACAAATCATAGCAAAGAAACAAGAAGGCGACCACGCCTTGCAGCAGCTCCCCTACTGTGCCCCAGCTCTTCTACTAGGTATATATACCTAACCCTCAGCACAAGGGGAAATCTGCACAGGCTTGCAACAAGCACCTATCAGCACCAAGGCGAGTGCTTTAGGCTCCAGCGCCACATCACACCCTACTGAACCGTTGGCAGATCATATTTTGTAATGCTTCGCTGCTTACTTCGTTACTTCGGGTACACCAGCAACATTTAGGACTTGGCGAGGGGCGAATCCGGGTACGCGAGCTTCTTCATGTGCTTCTCGCGCGGATACCGTAGATTGGTAGCCAATCCGACGGCTTCCAGCAGCTTGAGGGTGTACCACGTCATATCGATCTGCCACCACTCCAGACCGTGGCGCGCCGAGTACTCGAATGCGTGGTGGTTGTTGTGCCAGCCCTCGCCGAATGCCAGAATGCCCACCCACCTGGGAGCAGGTGAAGAAACGGAAACCACGTTGTTTGATTTGCTTCTTATTTTCCCGACCGTTGGGATTGTTGACCGGAAGTATATTTGCTCCTAATTTGTGGCAGGCAATTGTTGTGAGATGAAGTGGGAATCTGGATGTCCAGTGAGGATGAGGGAGGATGAACAGTGAGGCCGACAGTGAGAATGGGTGCAACGTACCAGTTGTTGCGGGAGAGGTCGCCCGTGTTCCACGGCTGGTCGCCCCACACGTGCGATGCGGAGTTCACGAACCACGTGATGTGATACACCCACACTAGACGCAGAGCCTGCAGGCATTTAACATCATTCCATAGAAATAGAAAAGGATTAGAGCGAAGACGTTGAGGGAGAAGTGAACAAATGCTGATGAGTCACCGAAGCGCTGCTGGCTGACGAGACGACTTACCCAGCCCCAGACGACGAACGGGAAGCCGCCGAGCGCGTAGAGCGCGGCGACGGACGCGACGATGTGCCAAACGTAGGTCTTGTCGATGAACTGGTAGAAGGGGTCCTTGGTCAGATCGTAGATGTTGTTCTTGCCCTCCAGCTGTAGGGTTACCACGCACAAAAAAAAAAAACGAAAATATCAGTAACCCGGTTACGAAAACACTACATGAGGGCATTGGAATAAATGGATATGGAGGCAAGAAACGTACCCGGGCCTCGAGTGCCTCGTTATCGAGCAGCCAGCCGGCGTGGCTGTACCAGAACCCCTCATAAGGCGTATGCACGTCCTCGGGTTTGTCGCACCAGCGGTGGTGCACGCGGTGCGCGCTCACCCACTCAAACGGAGGGCCCTGGCAGGCGAGAACGCCGCAGTAGGCGAAGGTGTACTCAAGCCACTTGGGAAGAATGAAGCTGTGGTGAGTCAGATGGCGATGGAACGACAGCGTGATGCCGAACATGCCTGCATCACACAGAGAAACACACGATCCCATGAGTATGAAACCTTCGGGCTGCCAATCTTGTGGCTAAAATCCCGTCAAACCACGGAAGAAATGACACGGGACGAGCTAGCATGAGCGTGAGCGATGGCGGACTTAATGTTGCAGAGGGCGAATTTACTGCGGCCATCAAGTCGAAATTGTAAACCAGCGAAAAAAATAACCGTTCCGAGTGCTCCGTGGCACGACGTAAGCACGCACCTGTGATGACGTACATGGCGACGAAGCACTCGAACGCCTCCCACGAGAAGGTGAAGGGCGCGGCGCAGGCGAGCAGGTGGATGGCGCCGAGAAACACGGCGTATCCGATGTCCTTGGGCAGCCACTCGCGGTTGAAGAAATACGGGCGCTTCTTAACGGTCACCACGTCTGACAGCCAGACTTTGTGCGGCACGCCCACGTCATCCATCTCCTCGAGTTTCTCCAGGATCGTCTTGGGCGGCTCGCGCGGTGTGGTGAGGATGTCCTCTTGTTCGATCTCGATCACGGCGGAGATCCCCGCGGGCTTCCGCGCGCGGAGTTGGGGGAGGCGCGCGGGGAGGCGGAGGCTGGACCCCGCGAAGTGCGATTGCAGGCGTTGGCGAGGAGTCGCGGTCGATTTCGCGCATGCGACGGTTACCGGCACGGAGGCCGTGTGCGAAAGGAGAGCTGTCGCCATGTCGTTTCCCGCAGTAGTATATCAAAGGGCCTTTTCCAAAATAACCAGAAGTAGGAATAAGCTGTGGTCGCTGATACTCCTGACAACTATCCTTGATAAAGAGACGAGCCAATTCAAACTCGATTGTACGAATTGATCGCGTGAACCGCAATTGGCAAATAGTAGCGACCTCTTCGTCGCTCGCTCAAAGGTGTATGCTTATGCTGTGCTTGCTGTATATAAGCCTTCTCGGGCACGGGACGAGTGGTGTGGTGAGTGAGCTGATGGTGATGGTCGATCTGCCCGAGGGAGTGAGGGAAGGGTGGGCAGAAAGCGGGGCGGGATTGCGTTGGATTGCTCCGATTGCGTGTTGGCGGATCCCCACTGCAATGCTGGCACGACGAACATAGCCTTCTGCCGTGCATGCTTGGGGAGTGGGACACAAGTGGATGGGAACGAAGGCGGTTGTGTTGCGTTGTTCTGCTGTTGGGAGGAACAACGTCAAGCGGGGATCGAAGGATGGTGCGCTGGCTTGCTGTCTGTAGGCGGGTGATGCGCGAAGGTGGGGCGCAAAGGTGGGGCGCAAAGATGGGGCGCAAAGATGGGGCGCAAAGATGGGGCGCGAATGTGAAGCATAGGGGTGAGGCAAAGGCGAGGTGGAAAGGTGAGGCGTGCAAGGGGCGCAAATTGAGGCGCATTGCAGAGTCAAAGAAACTGCATCTGCGCATGGCTAGGCCCTCCCGCACGCTCAAATTAGAAGTCGCCGAACCGCGTCGAAGTTCCCGCATCGCTTGTGGATAGAGCTAGGAAATAAATGTTCAATCAGCTTGGTGACACCACCGATGTGTATGTCTGGTTCAGGGAATTCGCGAATCTGCAACTGCCAAGTCAGAGCGGAATGGTCCATCGGACTTGGCGGTATTTCCAGTGGTTCCCACGAGCGAGCGCCACTGAGCTGTCACGTCATCTGGAACTGCCTGGACAAAAAGGCGCGACCGTTTTGCGCTGGCATGGCGGTGTTCCACGATAAAAGGGCATCTATGTGTGCTGGCAACGCGGTCCGGGTTGGGGTTGGGGTTGGGGTTGGTTCGCTTTCAACTGAGTCAGCGCGTTCCGATCTGAAGATAATTATGTACAGCCAATCGGAAAATATACCCGATAATGCAGTCCCCATTAGAAAAAAAAAGCGCTGAAAGTTTATGCTGTGAAACTGGCTTACGGCATTCCCCACTGCACTAAGTTTAAAAGCACATAATCAGGGTGGGTGGATCTGGGGGGGAACTGCTTCCCTTTCACCCCTGCTTGGTAGCCTGAGTGTTGGCGAATTAGGGCTTTTTTAGGAGCAATTGTACATGTCATTTGCAAACAGCTGCGAGATTGACCTTGTTCACCATAAATCTCCAAATTCCTCATATGGTACACACAAAAATCCCAACCAAATGCGGTATTCGAAGCACGAGAGAAACAGCTCTAGCTTCCACCAACGCAAAGAACACTATGTACAGTGCTAACTGATGGGAGCCGGCTACTAAAGGAAACGTGCATATTGCATCAAAATCTCTTCCCTCAGTAATAAATTGTCATTGTGCGATGATGGCACAATGGCTTACCAGCTTCAATCCCCTGCGACCAAAGCAGCCAATCTAGCTTGATGCTTAAAACCTGTCAAGCACACATGGAGCACAGAGCGAGAGAGACAGGGAGGCACTTCCATCCGCAATGTGAGGCCGGGAGATGACAGTGCCATAAATCCAGTGCAGTGCCAGCCTCCAAAGAACGGTAAATACCCTAATCTTCACCACCCTCCCTTAGTAGGATCTCAATCTCACCTGCTTCCCCACTGTGTGCTCCAGTCGCTCTCGAAGCCTCTCAGTGGCAACGATGCAGCACGCCCTGATCTCTCAAGTGACTTTTGAGTCGACTCAAAAGGATCTCAATCTCACCTGCTTCCCCACTGTGTGCTCCAGTCGCTCTCGAAGCCTCTCAGTGGCAACGATGCAGCACGCCCTGATCTCCACCTCTTCTTCCGAACCTATCGTAAGAATGAGGGAAAACATGCAGTGGATACAGTTGATTATGGAGTCATGATCAAGGCGCTCCCTCATCTTGACCTCACACACCTCGACCAGGTGAAAAAGATGTTACATGGAGTGTGGACAGTTGATTGTTTAGTCCGCTAGAAACACGCTGCTCCAGCACCTGCTCATATCCACTCCTTGACCAGAGACCTACCAATTATGAAAAGGCATACTGGACGGAGCACATCAATCATGCATCCAGGAGATTCAGCAGAACCAGTGCAGATATGCTGCAGTCTGAAAGCCAGAGCCAGAGGTACACACGGTGCAATGGCATAGCGGGTCATACGGGACGAGAAACGCCCACCGTACATTATGGAACTTTCATCCAACTTACCTGGTAAAATCTCCTGCTTGCTGTCCACAGCAGCAGCAAGATCCACAGCATATCTGAGCACGCCTCGGTTTCTCAGCACAGCAGGGACCAGATAGTCGGCAAACATGGTTAGACGGTGGATGTCTGAGAAGTGACCCAGGCCGCGCCCTTGGAACGCGCCCCACAAGTCTGCTACGAAGATCTGCGCCCTCTTGAAGAGTGACACCTGGCGGCCACGGTAGATTGCGTGATCCTGAAAATCTGGGAGGAGGAGGAGGAGGGGAGGGGGAGAGGGAGGGAGGGATAAGGTGAAGAGGCGGGGGGGTAGGTGAGGACAGTACAGGTCAGCAGCAGAATAACAACAAACGGTTGTACCCTATTTTAGAGAGTGTGTGGGGAGAATGAAATGCCACTGACATGTCCCATTGAAGAGCATGTGGTGCCATGCCATGTCGGACAAACTCACATGGGAAGTGCGTGGTGAGCAGGCGCAAGAGCCTCTCCGCACTCCCGCCTGCCTCCTCCACCATGCTCGCTGCTCTGCCACTGAAGCGCCGCAGTATGCAGTGCCATGTTGGTTAGACAGCACTCACATGGAAGTGTGTGGTGAGCAGGCGCACAAGCCTCCCGCCTGTTTCTTCCACCATGCTCGCCGTACTGCCACTGAAGCGCCGCAGCATGCAGTGCCATGGTAGCTGGACAGAACTCACAGGTGAAGTGTGTGGTAACCAGGTGAACCAGTCTCTCCGCGCTCCCCCCTGCCTCCTCCACCATACTCGCAGCACTGCCACTGAAGCGCCGCAGCAGCTCTTGCCCCACCTGCCGCGCTGCCAGCACCCGCTGCTGCTCCAGAGGAAAGGGCTTCGGGCCGAGCAGAGTACGCAGGCCTGTGACTGGGAAAAGGTGGATGGGAGTTTAAAAAGGTGTTAAGAAAGGGGTTGGTTCGGGGAAGCTGCTGCTGTTCCAATGGGAGATGGGGTGGGGGAGCTAGGAGGTTCCAGACGCACTGCGAAAACTGACGGGCTTTGTAAGAACAAAGGGTAAACAGAAGAGGCTGAAGAGAATGCGTACTAGGGACACGCACGAGGGGAGGGAGAGAAAGTGTCAAACTTGCATGTCGACCTGATCCTATCAGCCAAAAAACTCCATCAATCAAGCAATCAGCAGAATCTTATCGCGGATCAGTGAGAGAATTCTGTTGCACGCACCATCAAGCACTGCGAGGCGGGCAGCATCAATGCTGGAGGGATCGTGCTGCACCGCTGCTCTCAGGCCGGACGCCAGGTGCTCGTAGTGCAGTGAGGGGTCTGATGAAAGGGATTGGAGCACATGTACGGGGAATGGGTACATTCAATGAGCCTTTGAAAATGGGGGTTTTGCACACGGTGATGGGGTCCTGCTGCACTGCTGGTCTTAGGCCGGATGGACGCCAGGTGCTCGTAGTGCAGTGAGGGGTCTGATATAGGGTGAGACGAGTATGAAGGGGATGAAGCGCATGGAGCGGATGAAGTGGATGGGGGAAAGCGAGGGGATGATTGAGAAGGAATGAAGGAGGATAAATAGCAGTATGCGGGCCTGGTCTCGAGAGGTTCTACAGTGGGTTGGATGAGAAACCGATGGTAGGCATGAGTTTGGTGACACTACTTGAATGGACGGTTTAGCACATAGTCTTACCATGGGTGCTTGACAGGCACACCTTGTCACACCTTGTCACACCTTGGTGACACCTTGTCACACCTTGGTCACACCTTGGTCACACATTGGTCACACATTGGTCACACCTTGGTCACACCTTGGTCACACCTTGGTCACACCTTGGTCACACCTTGGTCACACCTTGGTCACACCTTGGTCACACCTTGGTCACACCTTGGTCACACATTGGTCACACCTTGGTCACACCTTGGTCACACCTTGGTCACACCTTGGTCACACATTGGTCACACCTTGGTCACACCTTGGTCACACCTTGGTCACACCTTGGTCACACCTTGGTCACACCTTGGTCACACCTTGGTCACACCTTGGTCACACCTTGGTCACACCTTGGTCACACCTTGTCACACCTTGGTCACACCTTGGTCACACCTTGGTCACACCTTGGTCACACCTTGTCACACCTTGGTCACACCTTGGTCACACCTTGGTCACACCTTGGTCACACCTTGGTCACACATTGGTCACACCTTGGTCACACCATGTTGCACCACATGTTACCACATGTCACATGATGCCATGGAACTACGACCACGTTACCATGTTACCCGGCCAAAAGCAGAAGTTGAGCGCGTCGAGCAGCAGCAGGTACTGCACAGTGAGAGGCCCCCCATCAGTGAAATGCACCACATACAGCACCGCACAGCATCACCATGTTACTGTGTTGTGTTACCATGTTACCCGGCCAGAAGCAGAAGTTGAGGGCGTCGAGCAGCAGCAGGTACTGCACGGTGAGAGGGCCCCCATCCGTGAAATGAACTCCGTCAAAATTCCATGGCGGTAGCATCAAGCCGTGAGCTCCAGAGGTGCCGCTTCCAGCAACGGCGGCTGTAGCGTCGGTTGTAGCAGCAGCTGTTTCAGGATTGGATGCAGCTTCGGCTGCCGTACCGGCGGTGGGTTGAGAGCGATTCGACGCGCACAGCTCATCTGCTAGCGCCTCAATCGCTGGTAGGGGTCAGAATGGGTGCGACAAGGAATAAAAAAAAATCAAATCGCAGAAAAAGCGAATGCTATCACAATCAGGTGCAGAGCAAATACGAGGAGCCGACGAAGATAATTAGGTGTGGCGGAGCTAGAATAGACGGAGCCATGGACAGAATGACCAGTCACGGAATTAGGATAGCAGAGCTATAACAGAGTTATCATACACGGAGTTGGATTCGACGAAGTTGAGACATACTAGCGATTTAGACTACGACGTTTAGCCTCTTATTTGATTCTGGATAAAAGCACTAAGTCAGCAACACCCATGCAGGTGACAGATCACTTATACATGCTATCAGTGAACCGTCCCTTGTGTCGCTTAAATAGGTCGCGCCGATATAAAAGTCAATATAGTCGAGCCTGTGGTCTAGGCACTATGATCTCTCTAAGCTACCTTGGTCGACTCTAGTGTGTCAGCTTGGTATCCGTGAACTACCTTGGTCGTCGATGGTGCAGTGTGTCGACTGCGACGCGACCCACTCGCACCCCTCGCGTAGGTCGCGCAAGCAGTCCTCTTCACCCGCGTCCATCGGCTACTGCTGCCTCAGATGGAAAAGTTCGTGCGATTAGCACTATGAGCTTTTGTAGAACAATAGACAAGCATACACGGAGCTCTCCTAAGGGCGCGTGTGTTCTTGCCGAACCTGACTGAAAGTTCGAACTTCCATAACGGTTCGTCACGGTAGAATACAATTAGGAACGTTCCGCCACGGTGCAAAGCGGTTTGAGTTCGAACTTTGTCAGGTTCGGCAAGAACGCACGCGCACGTCCCTGTGTCTGTTGATGGGCTCAGAACTTGCCAGCAGAAAGCAGGCAAGTTTTGATTGTGAAGTTGTGGAGCAAGGCCAGTGATACATGATTGCAAAGCGGTTCTGAGCTTTTCAAAACTTTCAGGAATCGGTGTGACATGGTGCAGATGAAGGGGATGAAAATCTCCCACGAGTTCCCAAATTCCGATTTCTTGCGTCGCCTCGCCGCCGAAGTCCGACAGCCCTGCCTCGAGCTTCTCCCCTCACGCTATCCGCGTTATTGGCTTCGGTTTGGTATTCGAATACAAACCGGAGCAGCTTACAAAGTTGCCCCACAGCCTGCGGAGCTACCACAAAATTTTAACGGAACCCTAAAACCTAGAATGTCACTGCACAACCGACACCACAGAAATTGATTAGCCAGAAAATGTCACTGGAAACCTTGCCAAGTTGCCATGACTAGCTGGCTAATTGTTGCCTAGGACGCCATTGAATTCTCACAAGTGATATCTCAACAAACGTAGCAAGCAAGCAGCTCTCGGAGCTACAGCCAGAGTGGAACACAGTCCCACACCCCATTTCGTGTCATTTGCAAAAACTGAAGCTCCTACAGAAAACGATCTAATAGCCTTACCATGTTCTTCAGCCTGTTCATCTACATAGCACGCAACTCCTGTACGATACGCCAAATGCGCTCCACACGCTCAAGTGCAGAGACAGTGCTGCTGTGCGTGCTGCTGTGATCAGAACTGCTGCTGTGAGTGCTCCTGCAACCAGTGCACCTGCCACGGTCCAAACCGATCAAGCCTGCATCATTGCCCACCAACCAACGCACCCTCCCCCGCTACAGATCCTCCTGTTAGCTGCCCCTCCATCCCAGCACCACCTACACCTGCAGGACCCGCAGCAGTCATGGGCGCAGGTGCAATCGGTGCAGGCGGAACGAGCAACTCGGGCTTTAAGTGCGGCATCATCGCATGCACCGCGCGCCACGTGGCGCTCCACAGGCTCTCCGTGTCTGACGCGTCAGTCACCTGCAACACCCCCTGAGTCAGCATCACCATCAGCATATTCTTTAACACCTCACCCACACTCTCCCTCAATGACTCTCCCCCCCTCCTCTCCCCTCCCCACCTCCCCCACCTCTTCTCCCCCCGCCGCCCCCACCCCCGCCAGCCCTCATATACCGGTCCATCCGAAGCAGCACGCCGAGCCACAAGGCTCGGAACCCCGGGCCTGGCAGCGAGGCAAGGCTCGCAAGAAAATGCAGGAAAACCTTTGACAGCGTCTTTATCGCACGGAGCAGCGACGCGTCCATACCCCGGTATTCCTTGGGTTTCTCCCGCAAATGCACCTCTAAAAGATCGTCTAGAAGCACAAACACCACCTGGTCGAAGCACGGGGCCCACATGGTGTTGGGCATGTGGAGGGGGTCAGCTGCGAGGAGGCAGCGCTGCAGCCACACTAGTGCATGGTTCCGCACGTCTTCCCTCTGGTCTGAGCACACCCGGCGCAGCGCGTGCAGCAGGCGCAGCCAGAGGTCCGCCAGGTCCTGCCCTGAGAATCGCCCTGCTCCTCCAGATGCACCTGCCCCAGATACACCTCCCCCTGCTGGTGATGATGACGATGGTATTGGGCTTAGTTGCGGGGGGGAGAGGACGGCTGACAAGGGAGGCTGCTGCTGAGGGGAGAACGCACCAGGATTTACCCCTGAAACGGCACTGCTCGAATTGTCCCCATCAATCCTACCACCTCCTGCCACTCCTGCTGCTCCTGCCATTGCTGCTGCTGCTGTGGCTAGTCGGTCTGCCTCTGCTGCTTGCTCCATCTCCCCAGCCATTCTCCACTCCAGCAGACAGTCTATCAAGCATCCCAGCAGGTCCAATGCCCGCTTCGATCGCTCCGAACCTCCCACCCGAGCCTCAGCGAAGTCCCGAGCCGCATCAAGGAACGGGATGAAGTTACATGGGGACACACACGGCGGCCCGTCCGTACACACCTCTCCATAATCCTCCACCGCACCACCAGCAGAGAAATCCGAGGCGAGAGCAGCAGGAGAGGCACCAGGAGCAGCGGCACTTGGGGGAATGGGTGCCATGAGCCAGGACAGAGCTTCAAACCCGGGTGCAGCAGCGTCTGGATGCCTGGCTGTGATGGCCAGCAGAGCAGCGAGCGTTCGCCAGCCAGGCGGGGACTTCACTCTCCGCAGCGCCCCGGTCTGCCGTCCCTCCCTTACAATCCCCAACACGCCCCGCGTGATCCTCTCACAGAGCGCATCAGCTAACCTAGCATCGAGTCTCAGCACGTGCTGTAGTGACCTTAGGAGTTCGTCTGCTAGGGTTTCATCGGCTGCTGGGAGGAGCTTTCGGCACAGCCGGAGGAGACCGAAGACAGCTCGTTCCACTAGTGGGCCAGGTGGCGGGCCGGCATTGGCTGATTGCATGATGATGGCGAGTTGGGAGGAGAGCAGCGGCCAGATGAGCAGCACGCGAGAGCGGTTACGTAGGGTTACCACGAGGAGGAGGTCGAGACAGAAGACGGCTGTGTCTTCTTCGTCGGGTGATAGAGGGCCTACAGCTATTCCTCCTCCTCCACTCCCCACTCCTCCTCCCACAGACACCCCAACGGCACCTCCCACACCTCCTCCTCCTCCTCCCGCTCCTCCTCCTGCTGCTCCCCCTCCGCCTCCGCCTCCTCTTCCCCCCATCCCGCCCCCACCAGGCCCCACCCCCGCGCCCCCAGCGCTCCCCCCACCAGCCCCCCCAGGCCCCACCCCCAGCGCGCCCCTAAACGCCCGCCCTGCAGCCCACACAATGGCCCGCACTAAATGCATCAACGCTTCTGCTTCTAGCCTCTCCGACGTCCCCCTGAATAGCTCCTCGATTCTGCACGCCCCCACCGCCTCCTCCGTGCGCTGCCGCGCCGCCACCTGGCGCTCCGTGGGCTGCGCTGAGCTGGCGCCGCCGTACGAGTAGTCATCATCTGAGTCTAGCAGCAGCAGCTGGGAGAACCGCAGCATCAGCCCTCCTCCCCCCCCACCGCTGCCGCTTCCGGATCCCTTCTTACGAGCTGCTGCTGCTGCAGGGCTGGTAATGGCAAGGGTTGACGTGGCAGCAGTAGTGGTAGATGATATAGTGGAGGAGGAAGGCGTGGGACTCGTTCCCATCTGCTGCTGCTGCTGCTGCTGCTGCGGCTGCTGCTGCGGCTGTTGCTGCTGCTGCTGTTGTGGTTGTGGGGAGGCGTATAATCCCCCTGCGAATGCCCCGTCCTCTGTATCCTCTACCTCGCTAATAACACGGGCAGGCAGCAATCCTAGCTTGTGCAACCGAACCACACAGTCGAGCAGGTTCCGCCAGCCTCCCCGAACCACCCCGCCGTGCCTGTTTGCCAAACCAAAGACAGTCACGGCGGCCAGCCGAGCCTTGGTGTCCTCCCCGAACGCAACAGCTGCCGCGTTGTCCACTAGATCTGCGCCACTTGGCAACGATCCGGAGGGGTTCAGGCGGAGAGTGACAGGTGCAGCGGCAGAGGGAGACCACGAGATCGTCTAGCGCGCCTGAGAACCCGTGAAAAGCCGCCACGTCAGCAGCGGCTGAGAACCCGTCTGTGCAGCAGCGGAGGAGCGACTCGTCTTCTTCTGTGTGGTCGAATACAACGGATATGGCTGCTATAGCTGGGCCTGCCACCACTGCAAACACGTCTCTGTCTAGCTGCAGCAGGAAGAGGGAGGAGGAGGAGCGCGGGAGGGAGAGGTTGGAGAGAGGAGGGGAGAGTGGGGAGAGGTGCTTGGATGGGGGGGAGGGGCGGGGTGGGGAGGAGGACTGCAGGAGAGGAGGGGCGGGAGGGAGGGATTCTGAATTGAGGAAGGCAGGAGTGGAGGAGTCAAGAGACTGAGAAGGTGAGGCATCACATGCAGCATTGTCAGTGCTTGAAGCAGCAGCAGCAGCACTGGCACTGACATCACCATCACCACCACCACCAGCAGCAGCAATAGCTGCAGCATCATTTACAGAAGACGGTTCCGGGTCAGCACTGGATGCGAGAATGTACGGCACGGCAGACGGCGACCGTCGGATGAGCCCGAGCCAGCGGCTGAGATTCATCTCGGGGAAGGCGGAGGCGGAGGAGGAGGAGAGCGAGACATCGGAGGACATTTTGATCTCGTTGCGTGCGATGGCGTGGTACAGCTCTGATAGGAGTTCCCTGGGCAGGTCTTTTCCATCGTTGATCTTGCGGTTGTTGCGGATAAACTCCTCCTCCGTCATTTTTCGGCGAACCTGGGGAGGGGGGAGAGGAGGGGAGGGGTTGGTGCAGGAGGGGAAAAGGGGGAAGGAGGCGGAGGAGGAGGAGAGGGAGACGTCGGAGGACATTTTGATCTCGTTGCGTGCTATGGCGTGGTACAGCTCTGACAGGAGCTCGCGGGGCAGGTCCTTTCCGTCGTTGATCTTCCGGTTGTTGCGGATAAACTCCTCCTCTGTCATCTTGCGCCGCACCTGACAAGGGGGGAAGGGGGGGGGAGAGCGGGGGTGGGGGAAGCCGGGGCCGGGGGCGGGGACAGGAGGGGGAACGGGGGCAGGGGAAGGAGGAGGGAGGGCAGGAAGGGGGCAGGAGAGGGGAGGATGAGAGGAGGAGAGGGAGACGTCGGAGGACATTTTGATCTCGTTGCGTGCGATGGCGTGGTACAGCTCTGACAGGAGCTCGCGGGGCAGGTCCTTTCCGTCGTTGATCTTGCGGTTGTTGCGGATAAACTCCTCCTCCGTCATCTTGCGCCGCACCTGTTAGGGGTGGAGGGTAAACACACTCATGACACTCATGACAGGGAGTAAACACACTCTCAGCACGTACTCATCAACATGCATTACAAGGTACAACAGCACATAGAGTACACAGGTACTCATAGCAGTAAACTAACAGGCCACCCATGCACCTGCCCGTTGTAGAGGTCAGTGTTGAGCATGATGACAGAGTACGACAGCAGCACACACATCTACTCATACCCTCAACACACAGCTATACTTGCACACAACGAGCCTCACACCTGCCCGTTGTAGAGGTCGGTGTTGAGCATGATGACAGAGTACGACAGCACATACTAGCAAAGGGAGGCCCATCCTCATACTCTCAACACACTGACAAGCCACCCACGCACCTGGCCATTATAGAGGTCAGTGTTGAGCATGATGACGGAGTAAGACAGCACATACGCATGACGAGAGTACACTTACTCTCAGCTGACTAGGCAACCACGTACCTGTCCGTTATACAAGTCAGTGTTGAGCATGATGACGGAGTACGACAGCACATACGCCACATCATGATTCGCAAACCCATACGCAGCGGGCGCCTGCGCATAGTACCGCTCTGCAAACGCCTCTAGCACCCTCGAAATCTTCTGCGCCTCCCCCGGCAGCCTAAACCCCTCCAGGAACGTCCTCAGCGCCGCATCCAGCGCCATGCCCTCAAAGTCAAACAGCTTAGCGAATTCCCCTAAAACGCGGACGTGAAACTCCTCATGCCCGCCCAGGAGGTCTCCCACTAGTGTTTTGTTAAGTCCCGGTGTGAAGCGGAGGAAGCAGGCAACTGCACGGGCGTCGGGGAGCGAGGGGAGGAGGGAGGAGGCTTGGAGGAACTGCAGGCCTTTCTTTGAGTCGCGGTTAAAATGCTCCACTCCTATGAGTAGGCGGCGTTTGATGGACCTCTGCTGCCGCACTACTTCCACTAGCAACAACTGCTGCTGCTGGTGCTGGTGCTGCTGGTGCTGCTGGTGCTGCTGCTGCTGGTGCTGGTGCTGCTGGTGCTGCTGGTGCTGCTGGTGCTGGTGCTGCTGGTGCTGCTGCTGCTGCTGCTGCTGCTGGTGCTGCTGCTGCTGGTGGTGCTGCTGGTGCTGCTGCTGCTGCTGGTGCTGCTGCTGCTGCTGCTGCTGCTGCTGGTGGTGGTGGTGGTGGTGATGGTGCTGATGCTCGTTCTGTGGCTGTCCCTGAAACCCGTCTACAGATGCTGCAGACGCGCCCGCCTGCTTTCCTGCTGCCCCCTCGCCTGCTCCTGCAATAGCTGCTGCAGCCAGAGCAGCGGCTACCATCTCCCGGGCCTGCGTCCACATGGCCCCGTTCTCCGAAGCTATTTTCAGCTCCGGTGCCGCTGGCACGGCCGAACCTGGCAGCAGCATCGGGGTAGGCGCCCCAGCACCAGCACCATCCCCAGCATCCATCACCACCACCACCACCACCACCACCAGCAGAAACACCAGCAGCGGCAGCAGCGTTGGCCCTATCAGCCATATGATGCACCACGGCCAGCAGACCCTGCATGGCCAGCACATGCAGCGACGACAGCGGAGTATTCACAGGAAACGCTGCTCTCGACAGCAGTCCCGATAGCTCCTCCAAGCAATTCGCACATGTGAGGTCGGCGTCAAAGTTGGCGTAAGTTTCCACGGCGAATTCGGGCAGCCGGCAAAAGTCCAGGAGGGCTTCCAGGGCAGCTTCCTGCTGCGCGAAGGAAGTTGCAGTGAACTTTCCTGCCGTGCCAACGAGGCGGGCGATGACACAGGTGTAGAATGCCTCTAGCTGCAGCTTGAGATGGGCGCGGGCTGAGTGGAAGAGTGTCTGAACTATGGCCAGGACCTGGGGAGGATGGGAAAGGCACAGGCAGTGTGGTACAGATTGGGTGGGCGATTACACAGGTGTCGAAGGCCTCTAGCTGCAGCTTGAGATGGGCGCGGGCTGAGTGGAAGAGGGTCTCCACAATAGCTAGGACCTGGGGGGCGGGAGGGGGTGAGGGACAGGATGGTGGTTCGCATGGGAGGGGAGCAGAGGCGGGCGATGACACAGGTGTCGAAGGCCTCTAGCTGCAGCTTCAGGTGTGCACGGGCCGAGTGGAAGAGAGTTTGTACTATGGCCAGCACCTGGGGGTGTGGGGTGTGGGGTGTGGAGGTGTTGGGAAGAAGGGGCACGTTGGTGGGGCACATGGAGTGGAAGGGGAGCACAGGTGTAGAAGGCCTCTAGCTGCACCTTCAGGTGCGCTCGGGCCGACTGAAAGAGTGTCTGAACTATGGCCAGGACCTGGGGAGGATGGGAAAGGCACAGGCAGCGGTACAGATTGGGTGCGCGATGACACAGGTGTCGAAGGCCTCTAGCTGCAGCTTCAGGTGGGCTCGGGCTGAATGGAAGAGAGTTTGTATGGCCAGGACCTGTGGTGGTTGGGAGGTGGGGGGGGGAAGGGAGCATGAAGATTCAGAGGTACAGGCAGTGGTGAAGTTGAAGGGAGCTCAGGTGTAAAAGGCCTTTAGCTGCAGTTTCAGGTGAGCACGGGCTGAATGAAAGAGTGTCTACACTATGGCTAGCACCTGGGTGGGTTGGGATGTGGGGCACATGCAAGGGGCGAAGGCACATGCAGTGGTACAGATTGAGGGGAGCTCAGGTGTAGAAGGCCTCTAGCTGCAGCTTCAGGTGGGCGCGGGCTGAGTGGAAAAGCGTCTACACTATGGCCAGCACCTGTGGGGGATGGGAGGTGGGGGGCGTGTGGAAGGGGCGGAGGCACAGGCAGTGGCACATTTTGGGGTGATCAGAAGCGCGGGTGACGCACCACCGCCAAGCAGAGAGAGGAAGGCGTCACAACTGAACATGTGCGCATAGACTCCAGAATGGAGGTTCATACCTGGGAGAGCACGAGCAGGTTGGGGGAGAGTCCTAACTGCAGCAGTGACCGAAACAACTCGTCCTGCACGAGAGACAGCAACCGCGGGTGGTGCACCACTGAGCAGAGAGAGAATGCTCACCTGGGAGAGCACTAGAAGGTTCGGAGAGAGCCCTAGCTGCAGCAGTGACCGAAACAGCTCGTCCTGCACGAGCGAGAGCAGGCGTGGGTGGCGCACCACCGCTGGCCCGGCGAGCTCGAGAGCAGCGGAGATGAGGCTGAGGGCGAGCAGCGAGACATCATCGTCTGCCAGCATGCCCGAGGCAAAGAGCGCGGACTGATGGTCCTCCAGGCCTAGCAGCGAGCAGAGGAAGTGAAACACCTCCACTGCACACGCCACCCCGTGCGGCCTGCCTAAGGCTCCCACTGACGCTCCGTTGCTGCTGCTGTTTCCTGCCTGGCCCTGCTCCCCGTCCTCCTCCCTGTTCCCTTCCTTGCCTGCGGTTTCTCTGGTTGTGACGCGCTGACCGCGGGGCTGTTGGTCAGGCTCGGCGGGAGGGGGAGGTTTGGGGGGTGCTGAGGCTGAGGTGGGGGGAAGGCCGTTGGGTGTTGGGGTGGAGTGGGTGTTGGGTGTTGGTTCGCTGCCCGTGCTGCTGGTGCTGGTTCGGCCTGTGGTACCCACTGCAGCCACCCCTCCTGCCGATCCTACTGGGATCGGGCCTGCTTCACCCTGCATAACCGCAGCAGCAGCAGCAGCGATAGAAGCAGCAGCAACAACAAGGTGGTGGACGAATCATGAACAGTATCATTACCTTTAATTGACACACAAGAGATGGAATATCGATCAAACTCATTCAACACCACAACCCCTCCTCCCGCCCGGTCCCTGTTCCCAGCCCCACTCCCTCACCCACTTGGTCAGACCCAATTCAATCCCACTCACCTGACCAGCAATCCCTCCATCTCGGTCCTCCCCTCCGCCCCCTTCCTCCACCATCGCCCCCTCAAGCTCCAGCGGACCCTCCTCCCCGCCCCCCTCCCCGCCCCCCTCCCTCGACTCCACCCGTGGCGAAAACGGAGAACTGTCCATTGTCCCCTACGTCGCCTCCCCTCCCCCCCCCTTTCCCCTGTTCCCAGCCCCTCTCCTTGTCCCAGTTCAATTCCACTCACCTGACCAGCATTGCCACCATCTCGGCCCTCCCCTCCGCCCCCCTCCTCCACCGCCGTCCCTCCCAGCTCCAATCCCCCCTCCTGCACCCCCTCCTCCCCACCCCCCTCCCCGCCCCCCTCCCTCGCCTCCACTCTTGGCGAGAATGGCGTGCTATCCATTGTCCCCTGTGTCGCCTCTGCCTCCCCCAGCTCCCCCTCCTCCTCGCTCGCGGGCAGCTCGGGCAGCCGCCCGAAAATCTCGCGGACCATGTCGAGGAGGGTTTGGCAGGCGAGGCGCTGCAGCAGGTGGCTCTTAGAGGCCGCCTGGTGCAGCACGCGGAAGCACGTGTTGACGATGCTGCACATGTGACGGTCTGAGAGCAGGGGACCCGCAGGGCTGCGGACAGTTTCCAAAAGAACCTGGGGTTTGAGAGGGAGGCGAGGGGAGAGGGGAAAACACAGACAGCAGGTGGCTCTTGGAGGCGGCCTGGTGCAGCACGCAGAAGCACGTGTTGACGATGCTGCACATGTGGCGATCTGAGAGGAGGGGACCAGCAGGGCTGCGTACTGTCTCTAGAAGAACCTGAACGGTATGGGGGGTGTTGGGGGGGGGGGGGGGGGGGATGGAAGACACGGAGGTTGGAGGCGCCTGGTGCAGCACGCGGAAGCACGTGTTCACGATGCTGCACATGTGACAAACAATCCGAGAGGAGAGGGCCGGCTGGGCTGCGGACTGTCTCTAGAAGAACATGGAGCGTGAAATAAATGGGGGACGAGGGGAGGGGAGGAGAGGGGAGTGGAGGAGAGGGGATGGGAGGCGAGGGGTGGGGAGGTGTGGGAAGAGGGGGTGGTGGGAGAAGCGGGAAGACACAGAGGCTGAAGGCAGCCAGGTGAAGCACGCGGAAACACGAGTTGACAATGAACAGCACATGATATCGTGGCTAGCTGCAGCCAGGTGCAGCACGTGGCTACATGGATAAGCGCCACCTCTACCTCTCACGCCGAGCTTTTGAGAATGAACGCGGAAACACGAGTTGACAATGAAGCACATGATATTGACACGTGGCTACCTGGATAAGCGCCACCTCTACCTCTCACGCCGAGCTGGTGATCTTATCACCAACTCGGACTGTACAAAAGTCCTTGCGTGCGACTTTTGAGAATTCTTGAGAATCAAAAGTCAGGGGTTTTCACCACCATTTTTCAAGTTGTCGTGGAGCAATTACTTTACCTCGAGAGACGTGGGTATTTCATTATGTGTGAGCTCAAGACGCGATTACCTGGAGGATCTGGAGTAGAACCGCTTCGTCGCAACGTTCTTACCATGATACCTAAGACGCGAGGCGGTTACCTGGAGGATCTTCACGAGAACCGCCTCTTCCGACGTGAGATCGGTGACCTCGAAGCGGCACGACGTCACGGCGTCCATGACCATGTGAATGCCCACCGCTGCGCCCGGCGTCTCAAAAAACACTTTCTGAGTCGCCTCAAAAGACGTTACCTGGAGGATTTTGACGAGCACGGCTTCCTCTGACGCGAGATCCGTGACCTCGAAGCGGCACGACGTGACTGCATCCATGACCATGTGAATGCCCACGGCCGCGCCGGGCGTCGACTCGTCGAAAAACTGCAGATTCAGGATCTTGAGCACCGACGACAATGCGACGCTGGTTACAATCGTGTTTGTTCGCTCGCTTCGCACGACGTCGAGAAACGGCGCGAGGTACGCGGACGGCGGCACGCGAGCCGCCTCCCAGTCCTCGTCCGACCAATCGGTGACGATCTTTTGCCTTAGGGCTTTAAGATTGCGAAGAAGCGGATCTTCCGCGTCGGCGCCGGACGTCTCGTCGAGGAAAATCGGCGAGACGGCCCATTTGGAGCTCTGGCGCATGACGGCCAATAGTGTGTGGATCTCCGTGCTGAGCTGGCACGCTCGCACGTGCGCGCGCGTGCCCGTGAGAGCAGTCCTGCCCGCACCGGTTCTACCGGCCGTTCTCTCGACACCCATTCTCGATGATCCTACCCGGCTCGGCATGCTTTCAGGGACGAATTAAGGGGAGAACATTAAGCGACAGGCGAGGATTGCTGTCAAGATAGCCAAAACACGAAAGGCTACATGGGAACAAGCGAGAAAAGCTGGGATTGGCGTAAAAAGGTAACGGACAGGAAAGCCGTAATGGAGTGACACGCAGCCCTCCGAGCTTCTAATTTTAAAACAGGAGGCTAAAGGTAAGGGAGCACTGCAGATCTAGACAACACTGACGCTGTACACGGACCCGATTCACACTACCTAGACTGCAGACTAGAGCCGTAGTTGCAAAATAAGGTGTTCAGATAAGCCACTAGGTGCCCTGATAAATAGATGGTGTTCTTCCATCCTCAAGCACCCAGCGGCCGCAGGAGATTGGCTGGATGATTTGGCGGGTGGACGCACTGAGGAGAGGCACACACAAAGCAGCATAGAAATTGCCGACAGCCCGCAAAGCACTGCAACGAGTAAGGTACAGTATCAACAACGCTGGGTGGGATCCCCCAAGCAAAAGCCTTAGGAAAGTACACCTGGAAGAACAGAACACTTACAGACTATACAAGCAGAATCTCTTTGAAGGGTTCCTGGTCTGTAGATAAATGATGAGGTGGGTTGGGTGGAGCATAACATGCCCTGATGCACCCGCCCTGTACCGTACCTGGTGGTCGCAATGCAGACGCACAAAAATCAGCATACACTGGATGCGCGTGCCTTATGGTTACCATGCCTGGACCGGATGCATGAGAACTGTGGTTATGTGGCCTTGTGCACTCTCCCGTAACCGGTGTACATGAGCCCTGCGGATAGCATGCTCTGCTACACATCCCCTGAACCTTGTGTGCTTCATTGCTCAGCCGTGTGGTAGCTACTTGCTCCATTGCACGAGCTCTGTGTATAGTCTACCCTGTTGCATAAGCTCTAGCGTTAGTACCGCAGCGTGCCTGGAAGCGCAAGTCCTGGGCCCGATGCACATTCCCTGTAAACCCTGTGGTTCGAATCCCAATACACAGCCCTGTAGCCAGTGTGCTCTGGTCCGATGCACAGTGTAATCAGCCCTGCGATTAGCGTGCCACGAGGCACAAGCTGCATGGTTAACCCTGTGGATATCCCTGCGTTTAACCCTGTAGTTGACCCTGTTGTTAGCCCTGTGACTAGCCCTGTGGTTAGCCCTGTAGTCAATCCTATGGTTAGCCCTGCTGTTAGCCCTGTGACTAGCCCTGTGGTCAGCCCTGTGGTTAGCTTTGTGGTTAGCACTACGGTTTACCCTGTGGTTAACCCTGTGATGAGCCCTGTGGTTAGCGCTGTGACTAGCCCTGTGACTAGCCCTGTGACTAGCCTTATGAGTAGCCCTGCGACCACAGCCCTGTGACTAGCCCTGTGGTTAGGTGGGTGGGTGGGTCCCATGGGGAGGCAGGTCGCACAAGGAGGCGGGTTGCATGGGGAGGCAAGTGGAGAGGCAATTCGAGGAGGAGGGGGAGGGGGTGGGGTAGGAATAGGATAGGGGAAAAGGGGTATGGAAGGAGTGCTACCCAGGGGGGAGGGGAGGGAGCAGGATGGGGAAAAAGGTGGGGTGGTTGGGAGAGGGGGGGATACCGTACCTGAGAGTGTTACTAGTCTGATTAACCTATCCTAGACTATCTGCTTCAGTCCTAGCATTGGCTGAAGGTCTTCATCTTCCGTCTTTCACTTCCAAACGGAGCTGCATTGGCTGTCCTGCAAAGCAAACAGACGAGAGGAGGCGGCAATACAGACAAAATGTGACTTTCTCTGCTTGATAAAATCAGGTATAATATAAGATGACGGGTGTTGTCTAATTCGGGCACATGATTTACATGGTTTGGATACCTACGCAATGTACATGATATGATGTGAAATGATATGATATTATTATGCTGTGTTTGGGGTTTAGTATGTGTTTGGTCTTTTTCCTCACCTTCACAGACAACGATCAGCAATTCACCACGTGCTGGTCACTCCAGCTGGTTTCACCAGGCAATTGCAATCGCTGTCCTAGTCTCCATCCCTGCCTCACTAGTCCAATTCTGTCATGTCAACAACACGACCGAAAGAAAAGCAATGAGAGAGAGAAATGAGATGGGAACGTGAGATTCAAGAAGAAAATACATGAGCAATGTGGAAGATTAAGGATGAAGCTTATGGTTCCATTCTTATAAAAAAAAACAGCCACAGCAGAATTGCGTTGCCGGGCAGAGAGAGGAGAGTGGGGAATGAAAGGCAGGGAGGGGGAGTCAGGGAAGAGGAGCAGCGATGATGTTGAAAGTAGAAAAAGAGAGGGTTGACTAGGAGACAATGAAGACATGAGAGAAGCGATGATGTTCAACGGGGAAAAAGAGGGTTGGGCTGGCAACATTAGGAAATGCGGAAGCGATCTTACCACGCAGAACGTGAATGCCGCATAGCTGTTGCTCCCTCCACCCATCTCTGCTCCACATTACCCACAATCAGGTGATGGAGTGACAGCTGCATGACCGTAGATCGGAGGGAAAGATCACATGCAGAAGAGGCTGAGAAGGATAATGTGAAGAGAAGCAGCAGAATCTTGCCACACCAAGTCCGCCTCTTGTGTCCACCTTACTGCCCTCGCCTGGTGGATGTAACACAGAAAACAGAGGAGTGGTGGCAGGGAAGAAAACGAGGAGAAAGAAAGGTGACGGTGCTGTCATAAGGAGGGATGTGTGAGAAGATGCAAGGCGGCAAAAAAGTTGAGACCAGCAGGTGACAGTGAAGCGGACTGGTAACATGTGGATGTGGTGGATCAAGAGAAGGAATGGCAAGAGAGAAGAACTTTGGGACAGGGAAACCGAAGTAAAGATGAAGGAAGGTGGACGACAAAGTAAAAACAAAAGTCGGCTCTTATCACGTACGCTGCAGAAACCTCTTGTCCTCCTCTGCTCCGCCTCAGTGCAATCTCCTCCTCTGCGTGTATGGTCCTCTGCTCCCTCTCCTCTGCATGTATCTTCCTCTCCTTCTCCTTCTTCTCCTCCTCTGCATGTACCGTCCTCTGCTCCCTCTCCTCCTCTGACATGTATCCTACAATTCGAAACAAACAGCGCTACAACTTAATGGGGAGGCGAGGATTTGCAGCCTACAGGTGAGGTGACGAGCAAAAATCTACAGCCTAGAGCCAGTACCATATAGCAGACCAAGGATATCACAATAATCCCACATATTCCCTAAAAAAAGTGCCATTCCTGCATGTGTTCGTTCTTTCCCCTCTGCAAACTTTCAGGCGCTGCGTGCATCAGGGATAGGCGCTGGCCTGTAGTCAGAGTGGTGTTAGCGTACCTGTAGTTAGCGAGTCCCGCCAGATGAAGCTTCTCACCAGAGCAGCGAGTCCCGCCAGATGAAGCTTCACCAGCAGCAGCACCAAGCTCCTCCCTCTACCACTCCGTGGATGCTGCAGGGATGGGATGGGATGGGATGGGATGGGATGGGATGGGATGGGATGGGATGGGATGGGATGGGATGGGATGAGATGGGATGGGATGGGATGGGATGGCAGAGGAAGATGGAGAGGGAGCACAGAGGGACAGGTGAAAGAGGTAAACAGAGTGTTGCTCCTGAGTGTTCCACTCCTTCTGTCCTGGAACCAGGGAATGGGCTGGTGAGAGGGAGAAAAAAGGATACAAGATGTCATAAACTGGTCCAGGGATGAAATAAAGCAGTGAAAGATAATAACAAGTGGCAAATAAAGCAAAAGGCAGAAAAAACCGGCAGAATTTAGAAGTGAAACCAAGGTGGAAGGATGCAATGAAAACAGAGAGCCGATGGTAGCTCATGGCACTAGGTTGGCGAGCTAGCAGGCAAGGGGGACGAGGTAAGAAGGAGATGCAGGCGTGAGTGTGAGTGCATTCTAACCCTCTAGGACTCTAGTGTGAGCTCAAGCCGCCCCAGTGCCATGTGCTACCATCGCCACGCGAGCGTTTTTAATACCTTCATGAGAAGGCAGCGTTTTGGTTCGAAGCATGCTTGAAAAGAGAGGCTGGGCGAACACGAATTACAAGGTAAAGGGAACTTAGCGGGATTCAGAAGCTGCTCGTCGCCTTGTTAATGCCAGCAGCAGCCCTCCCAGCAGGGACACTCCCAGCAGCAGCACTCAAGGTCGCTGGGCGCGTGAGGGAGCGGCGTGGTCAGCAGGGCATGCAGGAGGCACGCACGCCGCTGTGACTGCCTGCCGTGCGTCATCCCACCGCCCTCCCTCCCCGCACCACGCTGCCACAGCCCTGTGTGAGATTAGGATAGGGAAGGGAGCGAGTGGGAGGGAGGAGAGAAGGCAGAAGGGGCAGGAATTGAAGAAGTTAGTCTAATATAAGCATGCGAGGGATTGAAAAATTGTAAAGCGGCAGGGATAACGGAAGGAAAGCAAAACGGAGGCATAATACTGTGAGAGTAAAAGCTGGAAGTTAAACAACAGGTGGCACAGTGAAAGGGTAGGCGATGGTAGCTCATGGCACTAGGTTGGCGAGCTAGCAGGCAAGTGGGACGAGACGCGGGCGTGAGTGTGAGTAAATTCTAACCCTCTAGGACTCTAGTGTGAGCTCAAGCCGCCCCAGTGCCATGTGCTACCATCGCCACGCGAACGTTTTTAACACCTTCATTCGAAGGCGGCGTTTTGGTTCGAAGCATGCTTGAAGAGAGAGGCTGAGCAAATGTGAACACGAATTACAAGGTAAAGCGGCGGTAAGGATGGCAAGGGTTGAGGAGGGAACTTAGCGGGATTCAGAAGCTGCTCGTCGCCTTGTTAATGTCAGCAGCAGCACTCCCAGCAGCAACACTCCCAGCAGCAGCACTCAAGGTCGCTGGGCGCGTGAGGGAGCGGCGTGGTCAGCAGGGCATGCAGGAGGCACGCACGCCGCTGTGACTGCCTGCCGTGCGTCATCCCACCGCCCTCCCTCCCCGCACCACGCTGCCACAGCCCTGTGCGAGAGGGGGAAAGCTTAGGAGAGGGAAGGGAGAGAGTGGGAAAGAGGAGAGAAGGCAGAAGG